ATAAAATGTGAAATATGTCATAAAAAACACCCCACGTGTTTGCATGATGACACGTTCAAAGAACAGCAGAAGCCAATGAGACCCAGATCTGACAGCAATTTAGGGGAAAGAGACATCACTAAAGAAACACATCCATCTGCTACAGCTAACAGAGTTATAAGAGAGGCCAAAGGTTCTCAGACTTCCTCTATAGTACCAGTGTGGGTTTCTTCAATAACACAGCCCGACCAAGAAGTTCTAGTGTATGCCCTTTTAGACACACAGAGCGATACAACATTTATTTTGGATGAAGTTGCTAAAGAACTTGATACAGTTAAGGAGAACGTAAGTTTGCGTCTGTCTACAATGTCAGCAAAGTCTACTGTTATACCCACTCAGAAACTCACAAATCTCCAAGTTCGAGGATATAACCTGAGAAAAAGGATCCCTTTGCCACCAACGTTCACAAGATCATTCATTCCAGCAAATACGTCACACATTCCAACCACAGAAACAACTTTGAAATGGGCTCACTTGGAACAATTGGCAGATAAGATCCCACCACTACTGAACTGTGAAGTAGGTCTTTTAATTGGCTATAACTGCCAACAAGCCCTATTGCCAAGAGAAGTCATTTCTGGTGAGGAAAACCATCCATTTGCCCAATTAACTGATCTAGGATGGAGCATTGTGGGGAGTTTCAGTCCAACCACTGATATTGTGGATGAAATAGGAATAAGCCACAGGATAATAGTACGACAAGTAGCACCTGTGATGCAGCCACCCACAACTCTGAAGAAATAAGTTCAATCCGTCTGCAAAACTCAAATTAAGGAAATCAGCCCTACAGAAATAATAAAGATCCTGGAGTCAGATTTCACAGAGCAAAATACAGATGACCTCTCAATGTCACAAAATGACCTTCTCTTTTTGTCTAAAGTAAAGGAAGGCATAAAACAGAGGGATGATGGTCGCTATGAACTTCCACTCCCCTTCAAAACGGACAAACCAGACCTACCAGAAAACAAACAATGTGCTTTTCACAGGCTCCATTCATTAATGAAACGTCTAAAGAGAGATGGGCAGTTCTACAATGATTATGTTCATTTCATGAATGAAATGATATCCAGAGGAGATGCTGAGAAGGTGCCAGAGTCTGAATTAGATAACCAACTATCATGGTACATTCCACATCACGGAGT